TTTCACGCAATTATGAACACGGTTATTCTGACTTTTCATTTCAGTTGTCGCGATAAAGTTTGAAAATACCAAATCACCCCAAAAACCAGATAAAACTTCACATGACCGACTGGCACATCAATACTTCTCGCGGCAGGCTGTTCCACTCGGTTGCAGCTCTGATCGTGAAAATACTCAAATAACCCTACAGTACAAGCACCAAAAACGGGCCACAAAATTGATCGTAACGATCCTGGTTGATATAAATGCCTGTAACAACAAATATCTAACAAGAACAAACGGGAGGGTCGGATCACATCTCGTCAGGGAGGATGATTTCTACTGATTTTGTACTTTTTACTGTTTTTAGTTTTTTGGTTATTTTTTTAATTTTTTTTGTCTTTCATAGGTACTATACTATTTTTTGTTTGGCTTCCTGAATGTTTTTAAATGTTTTTGCTCACGTACCCTTCAGGAAATGACGAGACCGCGAATCCCGCCACCCTTTCTGGTTCGTGAATTTTCGTTCTTAACTAGGTTAAAAGACTATTCACGGGAATCCGGAAGGCTTCCGCGATCCGAACTACCCTTCCGCCACGGTGAATAGGGCACTGTTTTGAGCATCCACTCGGCGCGGTGTGCTCGTTAACAGTTCTGCCGGTCATGATGTTGAAAAGAATAACACCCAGGAGCGCCATAAAACATCTATGTAACATTCGCCCCGAAGTACATATCGACGGAAAATAAAGCTAGGTTCTAAAACGACTGGCTAGCGTCTAAACACAGCTCTACATGCTTTTCACCGTGTCTGCCAAAGCCATTTTTTGGTGGTCTTTCTAACATCAGGTCGACAAAAAAACGTTACTGTTTCCGGCTTCGATCAGAACGCTCTAATCTCCTAAAAACAGGGCTACTACTAACATTTTTTTTACTACTGTTTTTGTTCAGTAGATAAAAATTATCATCTCCATCGAAGATGGATCAACCCTTTTCCCCAACTTCTAGCTTCTCTTGATCTGAAAACGAATTTGGTATTAAGTAAATTCAAAACTCAAGACATTCCGGTAAGCTAAAAATTTTTAGAATAACGAGTTACAGAAATTTTTGGTAAAAATCAAATTTCAAACGTTTTCGCAACCATGTGCATCGTCAGGATTTTTACAAAAAACTACTCTAAATGACGATAAAACATCAATTTACAAATGTTATTTACAATAAATCACATATAATTTGGTTCTAAACCATCATGATAAAAAATTAGCCAATCACAGTTGACCTCTAAATTACTATTAAGATTAAAATACTTTTAACCTCTAAAATTAATTAAACATTTTAAAATTAATTTGTCTGGAAGTTTCTGAGTCATAATTTTGATTTAGACATATACGTTTTGAATAAAAAACCAAAAATATTTTGGGACTAAATTTTCAGTGTTAACTCCCTGCTCCTAAACTCATCGCGCGTGTTCAAGCTCGGTTTCTCTTTCCTGATATGTATTGCCTCTAGTGTTAGCAATTTTGTTTGGTTGTTTGACCTATCTATAATTTCCCAACTAAGATCTGCGCTATTTCCCTCAAGTTGGCATTGCTGAAGGTGGAGGCCTACCGGTGAGTCTGCTTTCTTATGTTCCTCAATTCTAGTGGTCAAATGTCGAACAGTTTGTCCGACATAGGTGGAAGTGCATCCACTACATGACAGTTTATAAACCAATCTTGACTTGAGGTCATTCGAAAATGCTGACTTCAGTGATGGTAAACATGATTGTAGTTTTCTTGTGGTGAAAACCACTTGAAAGTTCGTTAATTTTCGTAACCTGTTAGCAAAATATTGGCTCTGGTTACCCCTATATTGCACCATCAGCATTGGGGGCTTCTCATCCTTTGGTGATTGAACTGAAAAACCCCTGTCACTATCCAGGGGCTTGCCTTTACCCTCGATGATCTTGCACAAGGCGTCTGAAGCCACCTTTGCGGACCAATTTTCAGGGTACTGATTTGTCAGCCATTGCGCCCTATTAGTTTCCATAGCCTTATCAAATTGCTCCCAGCTAGATGTATTCCTAAAAACCCTGTGTACAGTGCCTTGGTTAACACTACGCTTATACTGAGTTGGGGCGCAGCTTCTATAGTTCAGTATAGCCCCTGTATCTGTTGGTTTTTGATACCAACTGCAAGTTACACGCCTATCCTGCGATACATTTATGTTCAAATCCAGGAACGGCAAATTCCCCTCCGAATTAGTTTTCTCTAGAGTGAACTGCAAATTTGGATGAAGAGAATTGGCGGCATCGAGAAGACAACTCGGCTCCCCTCTGACTGTTCTAGCAATGTCATCCACATACCTGAGGAACAATTTCACTTGGGGAGTATCCTTCTCCTTGTTCTTAGCTCGGCAGCAACTTTCACAGTACCAGACTATCTCGGTCATTGATGCGTATACGTCATCGGATATTTTTCCGCATTTTAGATGATACCAGTTTCGGCAACTCTTGCATTCAACCCCCTTTGATCTATATGTGACTTTCCTGCTGCAACATGGGCACAAGCCGTTTTTGTCATTAATTTGCTGTACCCCCGTTCCCACCGGTATTTGTTGTCGTAGAGCAAATTCGTATTCTTTCAGCCATAAGTTTGCCAGAATTACAGCGAGGGACGCGCCCATTGCTAAACCATCAACCTGTACATACCATGAATCATTACACTTGAAATATACTTTGCTGACCGCCATATTCCAAAGCCTTTTCATGGTTGCTCTTTGAATTTCAGGAGAAGACTCCTGGCTGTACAGCTTCTGTAAAGCAATTTCAATTGCCTCCTTCAGGGGAACGTTGGTGTACAAACTTTTCACATCAAGAGATATTATGGTTTCATCCGGATCTAGAGCAATGTTTTCTATTTTTTCTCTAGCCTCTTTAGTATTGGTTTCTATATTTGCTCCATCGATGTTGTCAAAAAACTTTGCAAGCATTTTGTTAAGATTCTCGTACGAGCTGCCGGGAAGTGATAGTACAGGTCGTAGGGGTGTCTCATCCTTGTGTACCTTAGCTAAACCGTACAAACGGGCGGGTTGCCCCCCTGTTGATCTCATCTTAGAATATAACTTATAACTTATCTCGTCTCTTTTGTTCATTGCTAGTAATTCTTTGTTAAGTTCTTTCTCAATTTTCAGTATCACCTCATCAGTGGTTGCATCTTTTTTCACAAACTGAGCAGATTGCAACAAGGATTCCTCATTATGCAAAAACCAACCCCCTTATCAAAAGGCACAGCCAGCAACCCATTATCTTTGAGATATTTCCTCGTTTTTTCAACGGCCTTGTCTCTTGGGGTTTGCCGTACGTTTTTTGTATATGCCTTTGCCGCGGCTTCTATTTCACATAACGTTTCACCAGATGTTTTTTGATTTTTCAATTGTGAGAGGAAAATGTCGATATCCGCCAAAAAATGTGTTTCGTTAAATTTGTCTCTAATTGGATGCTTGGGGCCCATTGATAGCACTTCATATACCCATTCAGGCAGTTCAATATTATCAAGTACCTTAACTGATCGCTCATTTCTCCCCCCAAGAGGTTTATCTTGTCTCTCGGACAGTTTTTCTAACTTTTTTCTATGGTTTTCTGATTTTGTCTTTAAGCTTGCCTCAACTTGACGCCTCACGAATTGTAACAGTTCTCTCCCGATATATTATAGAAACTCTAGAAGTTGTGGGGAAGTATTTAGTTTTAACTCAAGAAATTTTATCAGTTTGAACCATTGGGTCGTTTGATTGTGCGACCGTCCCAGTCAGTATGCTCCTAACTCAGAAGTAGCTAGCACGTATCGACTCTCGATGTTCTCTATCGGGAGCAAGACAGCTCTACTCGAATTGTGTGTTAGGTTTTCAAATTGCGAAGAGCAATTTGACTCTAGATTGAATTTTCTGTGCACTTTCACGCAATTATGAACACGGTTCTTCTGACTTTTCATTTCAGTTGTCGCGATAAAGTTTGAAAATACCAAATCACCCCGAAAACCAGATAAAACTTCACATGACCGACTGGCACATCAATACTTCTCGCGGCAGGCTGTTCCGCTCGGTTGCAGCTCTGATCGTGAAAAAGAGATCCTTATGCGCGCTTCATAACACTAATTTAAAATTGTACTACATCTTTATTTCGGATTTTTGACTGAAAGTGTTTGCAAGATAATTGATTTCCTTGAGTGAAAACCGCGTCAAGCTAATCTAATGGAAACTTACCGAAAGAAACTCAGTTTTTGCTGAACAGAACCAAGTGATTCTCCAACAAAAGTTTTGACAAATACATTGGGTTCAAGAAGTGTATTCGCAAGTTTAGAAACTACTGCTTGTTGAAGTTGACCAATTTTTAGCTAATGGTCAACTTATGCAATTTATGGATATCTTTTTCAACCGCTAGCTTTTGAAATTTAGGGCGCGGTCGGCCCCAGCACAGAAATTTTTTTGAGCAAGCTTTGTAAGAACCTAAGCATATGCACTGAGGAACCCAGAGCAGGGAGCTTTTTAAAACTGAGAATCTCCCTGGCAATACAGATTGCGAACGCCGCTTGCGTACTCGGAACAATACATGACAAAATAACTTACGACGAAATTTTTTATTTGTAACACTTGTACATATTTTCTCGTGTCGAGTTCCGTGTTCTTATTGAAGAAACGTAACCCGTATCGATTTTAATTGAAAAGGACTTAAACACTTGTCATCTTTTTTATCATTATCACTTCCAAATCTAGAAAATTCCAAGGATTTTGACTGGAATACGTGATGAAGGGTCTCCTGACTGCAACTTCGGTTACTATGATACTTTTGACCTTCTGATTACAAAAAAAATTTTTTTTTTTAGCTTTTTCGACCTCATGGAAAAATTAATGACTAATTTCAAGACTTTAACTCTGAAAGAATTATAATCTTCAGAGTCCTCAGACAAAAGTCATAACTACATATTTTAATGAGGTCAATTCGTTGATATCCAGAAGAAACAGATCATTTTTTTTTAAATTTCAGTTATATAATGAAGTTTGCAAGGCTTTGTATTATCTCAAGAACTGTTTCATGGAAGCGGTCAATTCATTTCGACCTAATGAAAAGAGCAGAACTAGAAGTTGGGTTCACATCTTCCTTTCTTGGTCTAAAGTATATGGTTTCCGAAGAGTTCTCAACGATTGCAACGTACATACGACAGCTAGTACAAACAAAGCACCCGCTTGTAGATACAGTTCGGAATCTACTAGCAGGCAATAGAGATCAAGAACAGCCGTCTCCTAGTTTGCTTGTGCTTTTACTCTGCAAGGTGGCTTCTGAAAATGAATCGTTGTCCAATTCAACGACTTTGAGTTTGGGAAAGAAGGAGAATGGAATTTATCAAATGCAACGGGACATATCTGAACTGGTAAAGTTAACAGGTTTTGTCATCTGAGATTATACTCAGTACTTGGTAGCTTTCGATAGTATTGAAATGACGCAATTTTTGTTCATAATCAGGCTGAGTTGATGTTTGTTGGATTCTCAATTCATGCCACTATCCAGAGTCTGAAGCACAACAGAAGTGTTTTATCTGATGAAACAACTGCAGAGTTTGTCCGCGGCAATAAATTAGCTGTCCTAATAGGCGATTTCATTCTGGCTAAAGTTTCTAAGGGAGCAGCTGACACAGAATCTTCTCAAATTGTCACCGAGATATCACTTGCTGTCGGAGAGGCAGCGGAAGGTAAAAATGCCAAATTTCCAGATTTCATAATTTGGTTCTGCAGTACTGAGAAGTGAAGATTGTTAATATTTTAAGTTGGAGTGATCTTGTTTGACACCAAGGTTTTGTCTGCGACTATTTTGATTATGTTCATGCGAATCATCGATTATCAAAATCGGGTGCTCGGGATATTTGACGTCGCCAAAACAGTTCTTTTTTTTGTCGCCCCTGAAATGTGTTTTCATTAGTTTGGAGGGTAGTTATCTGGATTGAAATTACAATGCTCCCATTCTAAGTTTTTCCGCAAATTATTTAACTTGCCAGAATAAGGGTACTTAACATCGAAAACTAGGCTTTTTCCAATAAACATTTTTTTTTTAAACCAATCAATTCTCATTATACTTAGGCGCCATTTTGAAACTTTGAATCTATTTCTAATCTATTCACGATGCGTTCAGTGAAAATTTAGTTATCCGGTACCAAAATTAATCAGCCCTGCTACTTCATCCGAGCCGGAAGTTTTAGAAAAGAATCGACGCTAAAAACCCCCTGTAGGGAAGCAGCACTTAACCTTCTAGTACTAAATCACAGCTGAAAGTTCTGGATCAACTGTGAATCATCTCTGAATTAGAGGTTATTGTTCCGACTTTTGAAGAAAACGGAATATGTATGCTTGAGCCGTTTTTTTATACAGTCAATTTTCGACTTTTTAATTAACCAATTTCTATCATAAGAAAGATATTGTTATTCAGAGCTCAAATGTAAAAAAAATACCTGTGATCGTTTTTCGTAAAATTATGGGGTGTGAAAACTGCTAATTTGGCAAATTTGGGATAATTAACGCGCGATATGTTGCGTTCTTGTAGTACATGTATAAGACCAAAGCCATTTTCTTTTATTATTAGCACAGGAGACTCTAGATGAAGAATTTACGCGAATTTATCCTGGGGTGAACAACTTAGTCTACAGGACTCATTCATCTCTGACATGCTCAATTTCTTGAAATTCGAATAAAACTCCTATCATTTAAGTAGTAATTAGAACTACTATCATTCAAGTAGTAAATAGTTAGAGCCTGTTTCAGGTTGTAATTATCTTTTCAAAAAATTCTTAAATTTTTTGGGTTGGTGGTGTTCGCCATAGTTACTGTCGTTTCGGTTCATTTTTCGTTCCTTTTGGAACCGTCATTTTTTTTATCTGGTAGGTTTTTTATTGGCCTACTTTTTAAAGCGTGGATTTTCCAATTGAAACAGTTCTTACTAAAACTGAAATTTCACAATTTTGTGAATTTATCTTGTCTGATTTGAGTTTTTTTTTTCGTTTTTTAATATGATTTTTAACATCTTCAGTTCATGTTATCGACTTTGTCAATTTATATATTGCATATTTTCGAGGACAAAATTTATCCTTATGCGATTATGTGTTTCAGTTTGATGGATCGTAAAAACTTTAACAACTAAGAAAAATTTTTTGACAACAGTTTTGTTTTCGGCTCAGCAGGTTTCGACCCAAAGTTTGTCGCCTTTGTTGCCGCTCGGTAAATGATTTATATTTTTTAAAGGATGTTTATGAACTTCATCCGATACAAACTTGAAGATTTTGTGGCTGTAGTTGTTTCGACTTTTTTCAAGTTATTTTTTCAAATAACTTTTTCAACTTGATTTTTCAAAAGTTTTATTTGACTTCTGTCTTTTTTTCATTCACTATCTTGTAGCGCAATAAGTTTTTGCATCACAAAGGTCGCGAAGCTCCGATCTGCCTCTTCATAAAATTCAACTTTAGGAGATTAATATCAATCAGTACAAATCGAACAGAAATTTAATAAAATGTCTCAAAAATCATACATTTAACATTATTTGTTCAAATCGAAATTTAGGCAAAAAAACCTGAATTGTACCTCGAAACCAAAAGTAATTTGATGGGGGCGTTCAACAGTGCCGAAGTAAAGTACAACAGTGCCGAAAAAGGTGGGAAAATTTCAGAATAATTTCAACGCATTGTCTAAAGAGCGAGAAATTACTGACGCTAATTATCGAAGAAAATCACTCCAATTTTGGCGCCAAAATGTCCGCAACTGCAAATTAAACAATTATTTTGGCGCCAAAACGTCTAAATTGCAAACTTTCTCTCCCAAAATCTTTAAGTGCCACTTGAGATTGTAAACGTTCGCCGTTTAATTTTTGATTGCCGCACTTAATATGTGGAAGTTTGTTCATATTTTCGGCACTGTTGAACAAAGTTTTCATTTTTGGCACTGTTGAACAAAGTTTTCATTTTCGGCACTGTTGTACTTCGGCACTGTTGTACTGCCCCAATTTGATTAAGGAAGCACGGTCTAAAATGAAATAGAGCTGGTCGAAAAATAAGCCGAGTACCTCAATCTAACCATTCGTTCCCTTTGGAGTTAATTGGAATCTTAAAATTGCAAAAATAGTCAACCAGGATGCGATGCATCAATGAAAACTCGAATTTAAAAAGTTTTCTAATTTAAAGAGAGTTTAATACCTTCTGTGTTAATTAAATTCAATCATACTTTTTAGCTTTCAGTTTAGATTTCTTTAGATTAGATTTCTTTCTAATCTCAGTTCTTTTCCTTTGTCACTATCGAATAGCAAAAGTGTGAAAGTCACTAAAAAAGTGAATGACTTCTAACTTCGAAAGTGGGTTTTATTTTTCAAGAGTAATCAACGTGAGGTTTTTTACTACTGGTTGTTTTTTTTCAGGGAAGTATTAAAATTTGTTTACGCTCAATTTTGATTTTTTGCGCTATGACTTGTGATTTCTTTTTAGGTTCAGTGCATTTTTATTGTTAAAAGGAAGGCAAAATCCACTATCGAACAGCAAAAATGTAAAGGTCACGAAAAACATGATCGACTTCTTATTTTCAAAATGGAAATTAACTATCAGATATTCCAGTGAAATAAAAGTTTTGCCTATTAATCCAGTTTTCTCAAATTGTGTTAATTTTAACAAAAAAGTGTCCATCATAAATTGTTCTACTTCAAAAGTTGAAGATTTTTGAAAAAAAAAGTCAGTTTTTGTTTCAGTTTCATTGCGTTCATTACTCTTTTCCAACTGTCAGTTGGCTATTTTTTGTTTTACCAGCATAATAGAAAATTACCTATTGATAGAGTTTTCTCAAATTGGGTTAATTTAGTCAACAAAGTGATATTCATTGATTGTTCTTAAAATTCATAGAGATTAAAGCGTATATATTTTCTTTTTAATTCGAAAGTTAAAAATTTTGCTACATTTAAAACAGTATTTTTTTTCTTTTAGTTCTTCGGCACTTCTCGAACTGTCTGTTGGCTATGTTTGAATAATTACTCACCAATTACCACCCCTGTTACTGCTTAGGAAATTGCCTGAGCAAAGAGTCAACGCAGATAGGCGCCTCAAATGGTTTTGAAACCATCAACTCAAGGGAGTCCAAATTAAAGACGGCGATGGAACTAAGTGTCGTCTCTCCCTTCTCTCGATTTGTCAGATCAGCACTACTTGCTGCCGGACACAGTCAAACGAGTATAGACCAAATATGTACACTCGGAAGAAGATTGATCATATGCTCCGAAAGTAAGTACTTTTTTCGTGTGTCGATTTCCGAGATAATTTCTAGTTTCTCGTAGGAAGGGGGATGAATTTGAGGCTACTTGGGCATCATTGAGTGCGTTCTGCTTTAATTCAAAGGTAATTATTTTGGCTCAGAATCACGCAAACGTGGCCGCATTGGTTTTTGCCGTTTTTACGGTCACTGTTATGTGGAGAAAGAGCGGAAATTTCATTACAAATTGGAAAGAAAAAATGGGTTTGGGTAAATTTTCAAACCGAGATGAAATGTATTTCAGATAAATAAAGTATGTTTATTAAGTGGCAATGAACGCAGTGCATATACTAATATAAGTCGTGATGTTTTTTGGTAGCAAGTGCTCAAATTTGATTTTTTTGCAGTATAAGTTTTGAGATCTTTTGTTGAATAAAAGGCAAACTCTAATATCGATTAGCTTTAGTGTAAAGGTCACAAAAACATGACCGACTTCTAGTTTCGAAAGCGTTTTTTATGGAAACTGGCACATCTATGGAACCTTAAAGAGCTGGCCGGAAACTTTTTAAAAAGTATACAAAGTGCATTGTTTTTTTGACAGCTGCCCGAAAAAGTTTGTATATGCAGGTGAATGTTGTGCTGTCTACAAAACAATGTAATGTGCAGACTTTGTTAAAGTTTTCCGGGCAGCTCTTAAATGTTCCTTCGATCAACAAGTTTGCGTAGTAACTGTTAAGGACATCAATATGCCTTCAATAAGGACATGATTTGTTAAGGGCAAAAATTAGGCATCGCTTTCCGCTTCCTGTAACTACTGACTCTTCTTGCAGAAAGCCTTGCGCTTCCTGTAACTAAAGCCTCTTCTTGCAGAAAGGGCAAAAATTAGGCATCGCTTTCCGCTTCCTGTAACTACTGACTCTTCTTGCAGAAAGCCATTTATTGTCTGCATGTATTTATAAAGTGGATGAAAATGATTATCACTGTTGAAAAAGTGGGATGAAAATTCTCTAACTGGTATCTTGGGACTATTTTGGGACTATGTTAAAAGTTATTTTGGGACTATTTCTGGTGTTAATTGTCAATCAATTAATCAAAATTTGATGTAAAATTATTTTTTTTTCCAAATTCAATATTCCGTGCGCCTAGACGTCAATTTTTGACATGTTGAAGAGGATGGATTTTGAGGAATCCGGGGCTTTCTTTCACACTATTCCACTTCACGTTAATGGAGGAAGTTTGGGTCGGTGTGTAAAATTCGACACTCATTGTTTAAAGTGTCATATTTGATTCGAACTCAGGCTGAACCAAAGGGAGTTTGTCATTTTGTTCTGAAAAAAGTTATAGTCCCCAATAATTTAAACACGCTTTCACATTTCGTCGAAAGTAAAGAATAACAAGAAATTGAACATTTCGATTAAAACGTCAATGCGGTCATTGCCGGAACTGAACATTCTGTTTCAAAACTGGAATCTCCGACCTTATTTTCTCAGTAAAACTTTCATTATCTTTGCTTAGGTCGTAGAAATCTAAATGGACTTCAAAATACAATGGGCTCAAGAAAAACGAAGGCTCCTTTATGTGCGATTAGAACATTTTACAGCACGAGTTGTTCCCAGAATGCTGACAATGCCATCACATCATTATCCGATTATCATGAAAGTTCTGCAAAACAGATTTTAATTGAGCTCATAAATTCATACAGGATTTAGATTCTAAAAATAGTTCACTCAAAATTTACAAATTTTGTATAGAGAAATTAAAAGAGACAGTTGAGTTTGGTTTGTATCAACGTGCAATACTTTCTCTAACTAACTGATGAAAGTTGCATTTCAGATCGAGCTTGGTTTCTATTTTTTTGCATGTTGTCGTCGAAGTAACCAATAAAGATTCCGAACAATGACGGCCAACTCGGAAATAGACGCACACATCACAGAGAAGTACGAAGTTAAGAAGCGGTTAGGCAAGGGGGCATACGGGATTGTCTGGAAAGCAGTGGAAAAAAGTAGTGATCAAACAGTGGCTTTGAAGAAGATATTTGATGCATTTCGAAACCAGACCGATGCTCAGAGAACCTTCAGGGAGATCATGTTTTTACAGGAGTTTGGAGACCACCCGAATATAATCAAACTTCTGAATGTGATCAAAGCAAACAATGACAAAGATATATACTTGGTGTTTGAAAGCATGGACACAGATCTGCATAATGTAATCAAACGTGGAAATATCTTGAAAGATATTCACAAGCGGTATATAATATATCAGTTGTTGAAGGCTACCAAGTACATGCACTCGGGAAACGTGATTCACAGAGACCAGAAACCAAGTAATGTCCTTCTGAACGCGGAGTGCTTTGTGAAAGTTTGCGATTTCGGATTGGCCAGGTCTGTCAGTCAACTGGAAGAAGACGCGAGCAAAAACCCAGATGGGGGAGTGTTAACCGAGTATGTTGCGACGAGGTGGTACAGAGCGCCAGAGATCCTCTTGGGCTCTCATAAGTACACGAAGGGTGTTGATATGTGGAGCATAGGATGTATTTTGGGCGAAATGCTTCTTGGGAAGCCCTTGTTCCCGGGATCCTCGACTTTGAACCAGATCGAGAAAATCATCACGTACTTGCCCTTCACTTCAGACGAGGATATAAAGAGCATTAAGTCGCCATACGGAGCCTCGATTTTACAGAAGGTACGGTTTCTAACTTTTCAACATATTTTCTAAATTGAACGATTCACAGACAAGTGGTATATATATTCATTTTAAAAGATATATGAGTGCTGGCAGATGTTCATTTAGAAAGATAATATACAAGATTTGTTTAGAAGAGAATATACTTGAAGAATAGTGAAATCATGAGTTAGCAATGATTAAGAAATAGATTTTGTTTCAGGTTCAAGTAAAGCAGAGGAAATCTCTTCAAGAACTGGTTCCGAATGCTGGCGGAGACGCGATCGACCTGATGACGAGACTACTCCATTTGAATCCAGACAAGAGGATGACCGCCACAGATGCCCTGGAACATCCTTACGTCGCAAAGTTCCACAATAGAAGTGAAGAAATCGAACTGGACTATGACGTCGTTCCCCCAGTTGACGATGATGTTCAGCTAAGTGTGAACGAATACAGACAGAAACTGTACGAGATGATTGTTCAGAAGAGAGTGGAGATCAAAAAGAGAAATAACACAAACAAAACAAACAGTAGTAACAGTAACAGTTCTACATACAATAACAGCAGCAGTTCCACAACTAACGGGCGCTTAGCGTCTGGAGGTGGCAACAGGTCGGCAAAGGAGTCCAAAAGCGGTGGCTCTCATAACAGCCAAAATGGAGATAAGAGCAATGGGTATGCGTATACAGATTACGGCAACGGACAGCAGAGAAAAAACAGTCTTCCTTCGAGTTACGGAGACGTGGATTCTACATCACATGCATATAATTCGGAATCAAATTTTGCGAATAAGTACTCGAGTTCGAATGGGTTCCATAACGGAGGAGTCACATCGCATCCTATGAAGCCCCCACCCCACGGGTATGGTCGAGGCAGGGTAGGGGGAGTTGGCCATGATTACCAGCATCAGACTATGCCGACTCAGAAACCTCCGATTGGACAGTACAGCAGGACAACCCACACTGCGCCGAGTGATCGGAAACAGTTGAAGCCACTTAACCCCAGAAGGTATGTGTTTGCATCCTGAGCTTAGCCTCTTTGAACTTCGAGTTTTCCCGTTGAATGAACTCATTTTTTAAAATTCATGTTGAATTCTGTGTTGATTACCCTTGCTATAAGCAAGGGTAATACAATCGTGCACTATATTTTGTTCACAGGACTCATATGACTCCAGTTGGTACTTTGGTTCATAATGAATTCAAGTTTCTTAGTGTCTCCTGCACACTTAGCTTGGAGGTAATGAATACACCTGGGACGGAAAAGGTCATAGCTTTGAATCTGACCAGGACCTGTTTTTTCAAACGGAATTTTGCTGTTTCAAGTAAAATTTTTGGCCTAATACATGTTTGCCTATGTTTTGTCGGCTTAGAATTATTTATTTTTACTGTAAACAGTTTTCATTGCAGTGTTTTTGTGTTTTAGCATTTTAAAAATCCGGTCGATTTGATTTTTACATTGTCTCTAGTTTTACAAACTGATTTGTTAAATTCTTAAGAGTAATCAACGTAGTGAAGACTCTGATATAGGTCTTGGTGATTTTTTTTTTCAGGAAAATATTGATGCACTTAGGTATAATGCACTTTTTGAGGTCAATTGAAATTCACCAGCTGAAAGTGACGTAAATAGCACTCTCCAAATACGAACGTGGAAATGACGTGAAAAAACGTGAACGATTTCTAGTTTCGAAAGTGGAATTTATTTTTAAGATTTTCCAGCGGAATAATGATCCAGTTTTCTCAAGTTCGGTTCATGTTATCAAAAAAGCGCCAATAATAAATTGTTCTAGAAATTCAAGGAGCTTAAAGGGCATCTATTTTTTTCTTTGAAATTCGAAAGATGAGGTTTTTTTGCGTTAATTACTGTTTTCGAATCTTGGAATGTCTAGGTTCATTTTTTTATAATTTTGTCCTTTTTTGCTTAATTCGTTTCGTTTTTTCTTTATCTTCTTAATGGCCTCCTTTTGCGTCGTTTGACGACCGAAAAACAACTGAGTGCGTGTGTGTTCTGAGGGGAAAGGGAAATTTTTGTTAGTAGTTAGGTTTTTTTCGTCTGGAAGGGTTTCTGCTCAGGTATTTTCGGCTTTGTTACCGCTTGGTAATTATAAATTCAAATTCAATCAACCATCTGGCGTTTAGGTAACAAAAATGCATGAGACGGCAAAGTCTTGTGGTTCCAATCCGGCCCGAACGGATCCAATCCTTTTTTTGGTAATTGGAGTCTTCGTGCTTTTTCTGACTATCGTCCGTCTGTGTATATTTGCCGGCTTAGTTCCCGTAGCCCGACTTTTTTGAAGGTTCAGCTTTGTTCCAAGTTGTTGTGAACTCCATGCTTGAAATTGCAAAGACCGGAGGTCGGCTCTAGTCGAGGTTTGTTTTTTACCAGGTGATTTAAATTGTTCTAGAAGTAAAAGTTGTTTTTCGGCATCAGTAAGTTGAAAATTCGAAAATTGACTGAATAAAAAAACCACCCCAAGCTTAATTATTCCGAATTTTCTTCGAAAGTCGGAACAATAATTATAATAAAAATCATAATGATAATAATTACCTTTGCGATAAGCAAGGGTGATGCAACGAGGTACTAGATTTTTTCCCGTAAGTTAGTTTTTTCACAACTCACATTACTCTTGTTTTACTTGTTGATTTAAAAAATTAAATTCAATAGCATTCTGCGATTTTGGCGCTTCAATAACACCCATGCTTGAGACAACCAATTGGAACGTTTTTTCAAACTTAGTTTTGTCTGCTTAATTTTGTCTGCTTAGTTTTGTCGGCTTGGTTTTGTCGGCTTATTTCCGCTGAAAGGACTTTTTTGAATATTCGGCTTCTTTCTATCATTCTGAAAGCTCCTTGTATAATTTTCAATGGTACAGTTTTTTTTAGATATTTTGGGCTTTTGAGGCAATTTTTAATGACAAAGAGATTTTTCGAAGTTATGTAATTTATTTTTCCGTTTCATTTGAATCATAGTTATTCAATTTTTTATCGGCAGTGGTGCGAAGCTCAGATTTTCCTCTATGTCTATAAAGTTAGTAGATCTGATGAGTAGACATTGATGTTTAGTTTCAGGTATTCGAACTACGAACGCTTCGAGAGATCCCCAAGTCCAGGCAGTGGTCTACAACAGAGGATGTACGCGCCAGCAGCCGACACATACTTTCCCTCGAAACTGGAAAAAATGCGCCAGAGAGATTCTTCCCCAATCGACTACAGAAACACCTCGGCGCCGATTCCAGGGAGATCTAAATCCCTCAATCAGAAAGGCACCACCCCACACTCCTATTACAACAACAGGAACCAGGACGATCTACTGCGTCCGCTACAGGCTGGTTATATGAGCAGAGAAAACACGCTTGGTACCGGAGGACTGTATCATCACAGTTCCACGCAACAGATGTCGGGATCCCAATTCACCCCGAAGCACTCGCCGGCGTTCGGAAGGCGAAGTGGCGGCAGCTCCAACGGGAACCTGTTCGACAGGAAGAATAATCTAACACCTCTTAATGGGATGAGAAACGGTAACAACAACAATTCTGGTGCTAATGCTTTCAGCAGTTCCTACTCTCAGTCAAATTTCCACTCCTCCCCCTCGCCCCACGGGGGGCACTACTCCAGTGGGCTCCGCAACTGGAAAATGTGAACGAATTTAAAAAAAATACAAATGTACTTCAAATCTGTGCAGGTTATAGAACAAACTGACACAATCTGACAAACTGTTATTGATAATGAAGTTCAACCCCCTTATTGTTGCTTTTTTCAGTTCTTTTCAGTTTCATTTGTAATGATGATCATTGGTTGCTTTTTACAGTTTCAAATTTCTTTCGTTAGTGCCGCCAGCATTTTAAAAAACTCAACAATCAGTTTTGATTTCGATACTAATTTGGGAAAAATGTTGAGTAAAAAAATGCTTACTAGGAGTTCAGTACCTTATTTCATTTCGCTGTTCCGATGGTATTTACTGATTTTCTCTTTGAGTCTTAGTTCTGCTGTTCATAGCTTCTTTCTAAACATCGGCTACATTCCAGTACTGCCACGCCAATTTTGTAAACCGCTAATGATGCTGTGTCTTGTACATAATATTACTATACTCCTTCTGAAATCCGAGCCATTTTGCTAGTTGCTTTCTTTATTTCAATTTCGTTTGTTCAGTCACGTGCAGTGAAATCAAATGGTAACTCAAACTTTTGAAAAAATGATATTTGTCTGAAAAAGCTGGCTCCAAAAATGTAGCATGAATTTCGGCGAATTTCGAGAATGTTCAAATTATTTGAACGAGTTGATTAGGTTTGAGTTGTCAGTCTGACCTTTCTCTGACAACACATCGTACGCGGTGTCGTCTTGCTGGTTTGAATCACCTCTAATTTCTAATTCGAATGTCCAATCCGAATCCTTATTCTCTATTTCATTCGTTCATTCATTGCTCGGCTCTTATATGCTATCAAAAGTGATGACAAAAGATGAACCTACTTAGCTTAGTTTTGCTGTATTTTCTTCCTCTTTGTTTGTATTCTGAAGGCCATGGATGTTTTGACCACCCACCCTTGCCTCGAATTATTATGTGCTCTCTTTCAGCTCAAAATAACTTTTTTTTTCAAAAAAAAAATCCATATTATGAAAAGTTATAGCGGCAAGCAAAAAGCAAGGTTTTAATAGAATATAATCTAGTAACATTATTCGAGATAACAAAAGATTGATATGAAATAATCTGCTTTACAAGAAGTATAATTATTAAACTTTAATTATTAATTATTAAAAATTAAATATAATTTAAAAAAAAAATTCAGCTGCTGTAGAGTTGAACATAATAGCTTGAAATTATCTGGCTTTCCGTTATCTTTCTTCCGCTCAGTCAAGTTGACTTAAGTGATGTATTTTTTCGAGATAGTAGAAATCTCAACTTGCTGAGCGTTTAAGTCACTCATAAATTGTTTTCAGAAGTGCATTGTGTAAAATTGTGAATTGAAATAATTTGCCGTTAATGGTTGTACATAGTCTGTAAAAATGTAAGATAAAAAATATAAAATTTTAACTCAAAAATTGTTTTTTTTCCTCATTTTTGTGATATTTGAAAATTGTGTTTTCATAACAAATTCGTAAAATTTCAGCTTATTGATTGCGATTAAATTTGCTTAATTTTAGGTTTTGGTTCATGAGCTGGTAAAACATGCATGCAAATGGACTTGTGTTATTAGCAGATAGCTAGTTTCCACTTCTATGCTAAATGGTCCATCGTGTGAATGTAACATCATCAAATCATGGCTGAGTTTCGACTGCATGAGACTTCGGCGGATAAAGAGAATCGCATCAAAATCAGACTTGGAAACAGAGTTGGCCCAGAAATTGATGGCGCCGCGTCTCCTTTGTTGAAGCCTGGCTCAAATTATTATCCATCATCCAGTAGTAGTTCAAGGTGTAGAGTCCTGTTCCAGCAGAGCACACCTCGAGCGGGGGTGAGATTGATTTCTTGACAGTGTTTTTGACATCCTTAAGATGTGTTAGGTTAAATGATTTCGCATTAATATTGAAGATCTCGTAATTATTGGAGTTAGTTTTCGTGATATATCGCAGAGCTGTATAAAAACGGGCTATTTTCTGATATGACGGAACTGATTTGGAGGAACTTGAATTTCTGCGGATTGTTTGAAAATAAAATTAACCTATTTTATAGTTTTTTAGAAGCCTTGGGTAAAAATTGTTTTTTTTTAGCGCAGTTCCTTCTGCATTTCCCCTTAAATTTGCTATAAATTAATGACATGTGCGTGGTGGTTCAAGCCATGCCTTAAGAACTGTTCAAAATATTTTAACTTTTAGACCGTGGGATCTCATTATGTTGATCTCGATTCTGGTTCAACTGCTGACCTTGAAGTGCCTCACTTTCAAATGCCATCCACCATAATGAGCAATCACAGTATACCATCTCCTGTGTGGAAAGGAGGGGGAGTCACGCCTTGCAAGCGACGTCGTCTTGTGTCTAATTCAGTTGTAGAATCAGATGAACTATCAGATCATTCCAGACTATTAAACAGTACAAATAGAACAGACTCGTCTTGCGAGCTGGACTCGACCCACCTCGAAATGAGGAGCTACCTGGGCAGCTTCGAATGTGAGGAGGATGTTGAGGAAGAAGAGAGATCACGTCTCGAGGAACTTATGAAGACCCCAGACGTGAAAACAGCTCACAAACTCCTCTCAACGCTTGCTGAGTTTTCGCCCTCGAACCCTTTTCGAAGTCCCCTGAGAGCTTCATGTACACCTTCAGTTCTATCAGCTTCCAAGAAGCACTTAAAAAATCTGAGTCCTCTGTTGGAAGATCCGTGCGAGATCTCTAATGATTCGAATTTATCAGTACGAGATGTGCCTCAATTGATTTCAGCAACATCGACTCCATTTATTACGAGACCTGAATTCAGTGCAATTATGAATAGCAATAACTTAGTGTGCACAGAAACAGTTTCTTCAAGTCAAGATCAATTCGATCATGAGTCTCGTATGATGAATAGAAGTCTACATGAAGTCATGCGTCTTGAAGACGAAGAAAATACAGTGCAATTCACGCCAACTCCTCTGGCTAAAACAGAAGGCGCCTATTGGGCAATTAACTCAGAGCCTAATTGGTGGCGACATAAAGCCATGCCCACAAGTTGTCCGAATAGAATAGTTCCAGAGAACTCAGTTAGGATGTCCAGATTGTTTCGACCAGAAGAGTGCAGTCCGCATGGACCTGTTGGAATCATCAGAAATGCTACACTCCCGTGTCCAAATTTATCACCATCGCCTGGGCCAAGAGTAATGAAGTCAACACCGTTGGGAAAGATAAGATTCAGAGAACATTCTAGAAGTCCAGTAGCAGATGGATCCTTTTCCAACAATCGGTCACCAACTGTGACTGTGAAACCGTTTGAACGAACTTTTGGATCTCCAGTTGCTCATGTTGAACAAAAAAGTTTGGCTAATGTGAACATCTATACACTGACTAATCAAAGTAGACGACAAACGTGTGAACAAATTTTGAACTCTTCTTACGGGAACTTGAATAGTATTGTAAAACGAAGCACCCCGAAGGCTCCTAAGAGGAAAAAGAGCCGACGGTTAAGTCCGGTCAAACCATCAGAAGAGTTACTACCCCTGCCCCCCTCTTTGCAGTCTTATGCTGAGGGCAGTGGAAATTGTATATTTGAAGAGGGCAGCGTGGGCGAAGGGGGAGATATGTCTGCGAGAGAGATGAGTAGAATGTACAGTGGATTCTGCAGGGAGTTGTTCAAAGTGAAATTGCGTCATGCTGCTAAACAAAATCATGAGAAGCAACGGCAGAGATCAACTTCGGAGGTTAGTTAGATGGCCAATATATATATTTTTACTAGGATAAACAATGAAATCTCGAGGCTTAAGGGTATGATAACAGGTCCTCCCAGATTAAAATGCGATTCCTTGGCCTAGTTTCGAAAGAAACACAGCCTCGAAAGGCATTAGATTCATCTAAAGGATGTGGTTTGTGAAATAGTAATAGTCTGTTAATTTCAACAAAGAGATTTGGTGTTTGAGGACAACGCAATATTTCGCTGCTCGGAAAAATTCTTTCTCTGAATTTAAACAGCGAGTAGCCTTGAAAACTAAAAGGTTCCGTATGATTCTCCTTTTTTTTCATTTACAATTGTTTTAAAACTGGGTCTTCTAACATTCCACACTTTTTCTGAATCTAAGATTCCTTTGAAACCTAATTTTGTCCTAAATATTTTTGATAAAATTTAAAAGACATGATCAAGTTAACATCCTGCCCCCCAGATGACAAAGTTAAGATCTCCTTGTCATTTAAATTGGATTGAATTTGCTAATCGCTGCTTTGAACATCTTAAATTCAATTTTTGCCATCTCATGAATTATCTAAAAATAAATACAGGCAAAGAGTCATTCTTAGTAAGTCCATAGTGGGTATGCCTCAATTTTGTATATTGAACCAGGGAATGATAAAAAAGTGTATTGCAATCGGGTAGTAGATTTCTTTTCCCGTTGTTCACAGGAAGGCCGAAATTGCAGCCTCTATTTTCGTCAACGAACAGACGGATAAAGAGCAGACAATTTGAGCGTGTCTGCATTTTAAATACCCTTTTTATTTGAATTAAACTCTGTAGGTCAACTATTGATTTCGACTCTTATATAGGTCGCGATGTTTTTGTTCAGGAAAAGGATTTTTTTTCAAGTTCAGTTCATTTTCTTTATTAAAAGGAAGGCAAATTTAGCGAAATTTAAATTGTACTTATTGATCCAGTTTTTTCAAAAAAGTGCCAATCATAAATTGTGTTAGAAATTCAAAGAGCTTTTAGGGCATCTATTTTTTTCGTAGAAATTTGAAAGTTGAGATTTTTTCAAAAAATATTTCAGTATTTTTTCTGTTTACTTGCGTTCATTGACTCTTTTCCAACTGTCTGTTGTCTATATTTTAAACTGGTTGTAAATTTTCAGTATATCAGTTTTTGTTTTTATTCTTTTCTTTCTCTTACCGACTTAAAGACAAAAGGTTTCGAATCATAATATATCGGCTTAGAGGCCTCTTTTTGAGTCGTTTGAAGAGCAAAAGAGTCTTATCTTAGTATTATGAAGGGGTCTCGAAAGTTTGTAAGTTTTTCTACTAAAAGCATATTTTTCGGCACAATGATTCTGCTTAAAAATTGTCGGTTTTGTTATCGGTTTTAAGTTTTTTTCGATGCTTATTTACTATTCATTTTTCTTACTCCTTGGCATGGTTTCATATAAGGAACTTTTATTCAAGACAAATGTAGGAAAATTTGTGGTAGATCAATTTGTTCGATATTTTTTATATAGCTTTCATCTCATTTTTTGTCGATTAGTTTGTCATGCTATGTATGGCTTTGTCGCAAGTAGTTCTTTGTAAATTTGTAAGATGCATGTAATTCAGCTCCAAGATTTATCAAGTTTTTTGCAAATTTTATAATGTTTTTGAGAAAGTTCATAAGATTTTGTTCTCGGTTTGTCGGCTAATCTGCAAATAGTTATAGTTATTCATTTTTCTATCGCAAGTGTTGCAAAGCTCTGCTTCGCCTCTGTGTTGAGCTTCTGTTTTTGCTGAAAACACTGATTTTTTTTCGCTGATACTAATTTCAACCAATCAGGAGATGATCAAACTTTCAAAATAGCAAAAATTATAGTTTTTGGGGCGCGTATAAGAGAAAAGACCCAAAGAATCATAAGCTTTTCTCCGATGAAACTGTCTATGAGTCTGATTATGTTGACTCGAATCTGTGGTTGTTTAGGTTTGTTATGATCAGATTTGGAGAGGTCAGACTGATGTGCAAAGAGACGTGACTGCTGATGCCAAATTATTCCTACTTCGCAATAAACACTCTCTTCAATCACTATCTGTACTAAACAATGCAAAGCATAGCAGACTAAATTATAACACTAACTCAGCACCCCAACGATAAAAGACTTGTAGAAATATCTCGTCTTCTTCCTTTATAATGTAGATTGATTTAAACAAATTTTACTCAAATAGTACATTTTATACCATATAGAGATAGTTTAGATAAATTGTATTGTTAAAGATCTTCTGTTTTAATGTTTATGTTAAATTTTCCTTTCTTTTTAAAACTGCGAGTATAGAAAGTTCAGTCCATCACTTTGAATTGTCAAAAAAACAATTCACCAATGCCAGACCCCACGCCTCTGACAAACTCCTTCGTATAACGAGAAGAAAAATTGCCAAACTACCACTGTCAGACAGCCCAATTTTTACCCCTGAAAATACTAAACAAGCCATTGCAGACAGCAAACCATCGCGAGCGCTAGGTCCCGACGGCCTCTGTAATATCCATCTTAAACATCTCGGCCCACTTGCTACTCAATACTTAACATACCTTTTTAATATCTCTTTGTCCGAAAACATTATCCCCCAAATTTGGAAAAATTCAAAAATTGCACCGCTTCCAAAGCCCAATAAGGATCTTAAACAATCAACATCTTACAGACCTATATCCTTACTCTGCCCAGCAGTTAAAATTCTGGAGAGGCTCGTTCACCCCATCTTTACCAAACATCTCCCCAACGCCAAACACCAACACGGCTTCCGCCCTTTTCACTCCACCACCACAGCTCTCTCCACTCTCGAATTTTACATTTCAGACGGTTTTAACCAAAATCGCCCCCCTAAACGTACGGTACTGGCCACACTTGACTTATCTAAGGCTTTCGACATGGTGTGTCATCGCTCACTTGTGGAACTCGTTCATGACACTCCCCTCCCAAGAAGTCTAGTCCGCTGGCTAAGTAATTACCTTAATGGTCGACAGGCTGCCACCTCATTCCGTGAACACACATCCCCCCATCGAATAATCCACTGTGGCGTACCCCAAGGTTCTGTTTTATCACCCACACTCTTCAATTTTTATGTCCATGATGCACCGCCACCTCCCGATAATGTAAACCTTGTCTCGTATGCAGACGATTTCCACCCCTTCGCAAGCAGTTCCAATATTGATATCGCCTCAAACTCCCTCAATAGCTACCTAAAAAGGCTCTACGATTTTTTCACCTCACGCAAACTAAGTTTCGCGTCCTCTAAAGGATCAGTTACACTTTTCTCCTCTTATAACAAAGAATTTAATAAAACACCTAGTGTTCTTTTAAATAACGAGGCGCTACCCCTAAACAAAAATCCAACAATCTTAGGGGTGACATTTGATCCAACACTTTGTTTTGCCACTCACTGCAAACAATCCGCTGAAAAGGCCAGACGCAGGATCGGAATCCTGAAGGCATTAGCAGGATCAACCTGGGGTCACTCCAAAGAAACCCTCCTCCTAACTTTTAAAGCTTTAATTCGCCCCATACTTGACTATGCAGCCCCCGCATGGTCCCACGCATCAAGTAACACCTCCATAAATTGCCTGCAGGTTGCCCAAAACCAATCCCTTCGCGTTGTTACTGGATCAAATCTAATGAGTTCAACTGCCCACCTGCACAGTGAATCTGAAATCCTAACGGTCAAAGACCACCATACCCTTCTGTCATCTCAATTTTTTATCTCTACCTATCGTTCCCACCATCCCATTAATTTTATACATTCACATCCCCCTCCTCCCCGTCTACTTCGCCCCTCAATTATAAGCTGCTTCAAAGAAGACACCCAGAAAATTTTAACCGACTTTTCAGTCTACGCAAACCACCCTCTAGTTCTGGACGACCGAGACGAAGTCTCCACTTTTATTTTTAACTACTACAAACCAATTTTAAAAGACAACCATACCTCCCTTGTAACCAAGTTCCTAGCCGAAACCCCTCCGTCTAAAGTTATTTGTATCCCTCCCCCAAAGATTGACCCCTCTGAAAAATCTCTCCCACGTCCCACGCGCTGTAAGCTCTCCCAACTCCGGTCTGGCTACAGCCGGCTCCTTAACACTTACCTATCCCGCCTCGACAGCTCCATCTCCCACCTTTGCCCAACCTGTTCCCTTGCCCCCCACACAACATGTCACCTTTTCAACTGCTCCCAAAACCCCTCCCCACTCACCCCAGCAGACCTGTGGCTTCGGCCGGTAGAGGTTGCTAAGTTCCTTGACCTGGAGACAGAAGAGCCCAACCCGACCCGCGTGGGCTAACAACAACAACAACAACAAAAAAATCTGACAAAAATTTAGTTCGATGGCATATAAATCAGCCGAAGTATAAACCAGCTTCAATACTGTGCTGGTTTAAATAATCCACACAAAAAGCATAAAACCTGAAATTTAAAACGCGTTATTCTTGAGTTGGGTTGAGTTTAGGTGAAAAATGAGACAAAACTTGCTGGGAAATTTAGCAGAATTAAAATCGATGCTGATTTAAAATGGGCAGACCCCCCACTCCTCAGGGATTCGACCCCTACCGACACAAAGGGCCCCCTTTGAGATATCCATATTTTGCGCCAATATATACTAATTTTGAGGGGGGAGCGCGCGCCAAAAAAACGCTATTATTTTTGGTCAAAATTTTCCAAAAAGTGCCTAAAAACGCCTTTTTTTGTTTTTTGGCCTGTTTTTCAAAATTTTGCCTGCGGCCCAGAAATTTTGACCAGCTCTGATTTTGAATAGGTCTTTTTACTGATTTTGAATAGCTCTGAAAATCAATTTGGTCGACCTTAAAAAAAATTTTCGAATATTTTTGAAAATCTGCTCCCACCTCAAGAAAATCCTAGATCCGCCCCTGATCAAAATAGTAATTTGTTTTGCGAAATTCGGTTCTGAAATTCGGTTCCGAAAAATCGAGTTGGAGCGTGAGCCATTAGTCTTTTTCTTGGAAAAAGACGAAAAAAAATTGTCTAAAAATCATCAATAATTGCCGAAATGTGTTCAATAAGCGGCGCAATGTCAGATTACCAAATTTGGAAGCTTTTTCAAAACTTTAATGGCTATATCTCCTGTTTTTGAATACGCTATTTTTTATGTTGCTACCCAAGTTAGTTTTCGTGATAATCATTTTTCGTGGGCCGTCGTCACCTGTTTCTCATAGTCATTATTTTTCTCAAATTTACTCAAAAAAGAATTTATAATAAATTTCTAGGCTTAATTAAGATTTAAACGGATAGATAATTAAGTTCTAGACAACGGATCGGCTTCATCACACAATAAAATTGGATGCATTTTCGGCCACTTGTTCCAAAGTGTCATTCAGGCTTTTGTTTTCCTCGGTACTAGTTGGGGCCATTGTTTCACTCTCCTCTCCCTCTTTTTCGGTGACCTCGTTGGAGTCTTCTGGTTTTGATTCCAGATTGAGTCTGGCAGTTTTCAACTGGAATGCCATTTGTTTTCGCTCTTCCTCTTTGGCTTCAGCTGCTTTTTTGGCCTCGGTAGCATCGTAGAATACTCCGCAATTCTGAACAACTTAACAGTTTTCATTTGGTTTTGCATCGGTTAAGAAAAGCTACCAAGTTTTGTTTTTCGTGTATAGCTAAGGAGAGGTTTTAATTTATCACATATTTTACTGTTGAGTTTAAAGCTCTTGAGAAAAAATAAGATCTCGGATTTTCTCAAGAAAGATTTTCTAAAGTAGTTAAAATATCAAAGTTTATGTTTTCTATGCTCCAGGGTGACCTTTTGGTCACTATTTTTTCAATGGTCACTGAAAGTCACTATTTACAACAAAGCTTTGTTTTTTAATATTTTTAAAGGGTCCCCTCTTTGCACTATTTTGAGATATCCATTTTTAGTGATTGACCCTAAAATTTTTTTAAAGGCGCCTTTGGCGCCAATATATACTAATATTGAGGGGGGAGCACGCGCCAAAAAAAAAACGCTATTATTTTTGGTCAAAATTTTCTAAAAAGTGCCTAAAAACGCATTTTTTTTGTTTTTTGGCCTGTTTTTCAAAATTTTGCCTGCGGCCCAGAAGTTTTGACCAAAACAGGGTCGTTTTAGTAGTGCTTTGGCAGAGCTTGAAAAATTAATTTGGTCGACCTAAAAAAAAGGTCGACAAAAAATATTAGAAAATTGTCATAGCCACTATTTTTCTATTTTTCTCTCAAAAAAAGTGGTCACCCTGCTATGCTCCTCATTTTTGAAATTTAGTCTAAATCATGGTTTTTATTTAAATTTTTGGTGCTGCAGAAAACCATTTGACACTTCTACTTAGTGTTTGCAGTGTTTTTTTAAATAGTTATACGAAGTTTTTAATAAGTCAATAATACTTGGGCATATTTTGTAGTAAACAGCGTTGCTGCAAAGTTAAAGTATCAAAAAACTACTGGCACGGAAAGTTAAAGTATCAAAATGAGACACCTGAAAACGGGCCTTGTTGGCTTAATGGTGTTCTCCCGAACGATTCTAATTTGTATTTATAAATTTTTATAAATAACTTTGTAACTAGATATCGTTTGGAAACAATTTATTATTATTATTATAAGTGTATGCTGAAAAATGAACTATTGTTTTTTTTCGAAAAAAAATCGATACCTTGGGACTGGTAAAAGTGTCAATTTGACAGCTATTTTCTTGTTTCCGACCCAATGTAGAATTCACACTGTCAAAAAATTGTTGATATGGCAATTTACATGTAAGAAATGTTGAAAAATCTGTTCACGTTCACTTGTTCACTCTGAAAATCGCGAAAGTTTTTCAATTGGATTTTGTAATTCGATTTTAAGAAAAAACTAAAGGGGGGACCAAAAAAGATCAAAAGGCAGACTGACCTGAATGACGCAATCTTTCTTTGGCCTTTCGTTGAAGCTCTCTTGCTGCTCAAGGGCGTTCAAGATGTCGAAACCTTCAAGGACCCTCCCAAAGGCGACATACTTTTTCTCCATCCAAGGACAGGCTTGTAAGGTGATGAAAAACTGAGATCTGTTTGTATGTCTACCGTGATTGGCCATCGCTATTATGCCTCGTCGGTCGAACTTAACAGCGAAACTCTCGTCTTCAAATTTGGGTCCGTAAATTGAGAGTCCTCCGGTTCCTTTGCCGACGTCTATGTCACCTCCTTGGATCCAGCCATTTTTGACTACTCGGTGAAAAATGGACCCCTGGAAATGCAATTTGATGCCGCTGTCTTCATCTCTTCCTTTTTCACCTGTGAGTAGTGATATCCAATTATACAAATATGAAACTTTTAATTTGTAATTATCAATATGATATGAAAAGTTTTTAGTAGTTTTAACTTCTTTTGCAGAATTTTAAATTGCCTACAAACAAACAATTTTTCCATTTCTTGACAAGTTCAGGCTAGTTCTCTAAGTTTTTCATTGATTACAATAAGTGGCTGATTCAAGCGTTTTCTTACGCTTGCGATTAGCAAGCGTTATTTTCTGAAATCTTTCACCAAAATTAATGAAAGGTTGTGTTTTTGCAAACGAGAAATGCTTTTCAGATGTGAATTTAAGTCCTATATCTGGAGTTTAAAGTTGTTTCCGACCATTGCAAATAGGGCGGCTCAAAACTTACATAAAAGCTTCAGTTTAAAGCTTTTATTCAAGTTTTTTGAGTTCAGTTTTTCTACTCCAATAAGTTGACATTCAAATGAAAATCTGAATTGTTTATTTAAATTGACATTTTTACCTGTGCAGAGGCATTTGAAGTTGTAACTCGTTTTGGGACATTTGTCTGAGTAAAGTTCGATTAGAAGTCGTCCCGTGGTCTGGTTGTCAATATTGACATCCAAGTAGACGACGTCACGTGATTCGGATGCCAAGTACGTCCGGTATGCTTCGTCGGCCATCGCTTGATACAGTTCAGCCGGACGACAATTGACATAGTTGAACTTATCCTTCAGCAGCTGTTGAATGTCTTCGATACCTCCTACTAACCTGGAATGCAAACCCATTTCTCACTATTTGGCTCTCCTTTTTCCTACCCCCACCCTCTTTTCCAGCTCGCACGAGTATCAGTTTTATGGTACTATAACGAGGAGTCGCTTTGACAAGGTTAAGTATGAACAACAAATTCTCATAGCCTAATTAGTCCGCCTGTCAATGTTCATAAAACCAGATCACTTTTGGCGCTTTTAGTCAAGCAAAATATACGAATAATAAAATACCGTATCAATTGTTTGCAAAATTAGGTTAAAGCGAACCTTTAACAATTTGAAAAAAAAACGTTTTCAAATAAAAATTGGTATTTTATATAGTAAAAGTGACACTTTTGACTATTAAAGAGAAATGAATTTATTTGTATAAAATTTTGAAGATTAATCTTCTTAAACTTTGTTGGGCTACCTTGGAGGCTCACTTTGATTTAATTTTGTCAGCAATTGATTCACTATTTCTGGCGTATATTTTGATTGACAGAAAAACGAAATTGAAAAAAATATATATTGTAAAAAAATGAATTGTCGGAATTTCGTTTATCGATTTAGCTGCCAAACAGGATATTTTTTGCGATGTCAGCAGTTTTCATCCTAGATGCAAGTTTTCTCGAGTCGATGAACTTAGGTCAGTTCTTATATAGCTAGCGATCATCTTTTTTCAGGAATTTGTTTAAGCTAAATCTAATTTTTTTAGCGGGTTTACCTTTTAATTTCTTTTCAAGTGCAGTTCAGTTACTTTTATAAAACGATGGCAAACTCAATTAACTAACAGTGAAAGTGTAAATATCACAAAAAACGTGATCGACTTCTAAAATGGAATTTAATTATCAGATTTCCCAGCGAAATAAAAATTGAACCTATTGAAATTTGGTTCATTTTATCACAAAATTGTCCATTATAAATTGTTGTAGTAGTTCCAAGAGCTTCACGGTCATATATTTCTTTCTGGGATATTCGAAATTTGAGATTTATCAACAAGTCTCTACTTTTTCCGTTTACTTGGGTTCCTTGACTCTCTTCCATCGGTCTGTTTGCTTTGTTTTTTTTTATTTACTCCTGTAATTGTAAAATTAATAGCCCTGAAGTTGGCCGTTCAGTTCAATTATCCCAGATACCTGTTGCGGCAGTCAATTGGCCCTTTTACCCCCCCCTCCCCCCCCCCCCCCCACACACACACACACACACACACACGCACAAAGAATTTCAGTTTTGAGAAATAATTTTAACGTTCATAATGCAATGAAACTTCGTAAGATGAACAATCTAACTAGCTTTTTCTTCATACTTTTCATCATAACATCACGAATTTAGCCACAACACGTTATATACTGTGTTTGACATTTAGCTTAAGTTGAAAAGAGCCATTCATTGAAATTGTTAAATAATCAAAATGAAGTAAGTGTACCTGGAGTTGTGAAAAAAGACGACATTTTCCTGGAAAGTCCACATGCCTCCTTTGTGGTTCAAAATGACCCCCTGGAGAAAATGGCGCCAGTCGAATTCCAGCAACCCCTCCACCTGGTTCGAAATACTCACGTGCTCCCCGTATTTCTCCTTAATCTCTCGGAGCATTGTTCGGCCCATTTGGAAGTGAGCGTCGCCGACTAAACCCACCACTCGGAAATTGTGACCCGAATCACTCGAGTTAATTTGATCAACCATTTTTATTGTTTACTGAACACTAAACAAGATCAAAAGCAACTCAAAGCTCAGGTGTGTTTTTTCTAATGTAAATAAAGCTCAATATAAGTAAAAAAAAAATGGCATTGATATTTTTGTGCTTCAAACGTTTTAGATAATATTTTAACACGTGCGGTTTTAGAATGATTATTCCAAATATTCAAGACTGTGGTTGCGTTTTTGGTTGACAAGGTTCTTCAGTGGTTGAAAAGACAGCTAAGTGACCACCCCTCAAACAGGCAGTTGAAGTGAAGCTGAACTTTCGATTGCGTAAAACTTCTTCCAAATGCCTATTTTCTCCCCACCTTTCATTAAACAGCTTTTATTTTTTAAAGGAATCTGTGAAAATTTACTCGAAAAGTGTGTACATTTTAGTCAATTTCAGTAGCGGATTTAGAGGGGAGGGGATTTGAACTTAAAATTACTAACGCGAAATTTTGTTCGAAATTTTCCAAAAAGTGCCTAAAAACGCTTTTCAAAATTTTCAAAAATTTTTTTTTAAAATCCCCCTCCCCCTCGAGAAATTCCTAGATCCGGGCCTGGTCAATTTATTATGAAATTGGCATGTAAATTCTGAAATCTTTTTTCCTTTCTCTTCACCGCATCTCACATGAGCATCAATTTTATGGTGAAACGAGGGGTCCTAGAAGGTTAGGTATCAAGACCAAATCTTGGGAATAAAAATCAAAAAACTTTCTGCAAAACAAGTTGAGACTTCAGAAAGTTTTAAAATCATATTTAGTTTTCTTAGTCATTTTTGACAAAAACTGTTTTCCAAGTTGCCTATTTTACTATGAGTGTGGAATGTGCCTGGGTCTTAGGCTTCGTTCAGATCTTTTCATCGCTCAAAACGACACAAGTTAAAAAAAACTTTTCTTCAAAAATTATGTTCGAAACATTGTGCTAATTGCACATGAAGTGTTCATTTGATCGTCGCATAGCAATTGATAGCAAATAAGACACAAATCAGTTCCCAAATTTTTATATAGCAGAATGAGCAATTTGCATTTTTTATCTTGATGGTCGCTCAACGGTTTAAAATATTTGCTTTTCAGACTAACTGCGAGCGAGTAAAGTAGGGGTTTTAATAAGACACATTTTTTTAAGCTGCAGAAATTAGTTCTACTACAGGAAAACTGTTTTTTGAAGCTTCATGTAATACTTCCTTGACAAAAAAGAAAAATTTAAATTGAAATTTTCTGCAATTTTTTTGGAGTTTGTTTTTCATCCTTTTTTTGAAAACAACTGTATTTTCTATGCCTAATTTAACTATGTGTTAAGATTTCGTCTTGTTCTTTTCATCACACCACGAACAAAAAACGAAACATTTGAGTGAAAAGTTTTTTTTTCGAGATTTTTGTTCTGCTTAAGATATTGAAGATTTTGTGGTTTTTGTCCAACAACCGGCCACATCTGCTGATAGCTGGTGTCTAACAGTTGTTAAATGGTTTTTTAGCGTTAATTTTCCTAGAAATTACGCTTGAGAGGTTTAAATACAACAGTCGTCCGCCCAAGTTTTGTCGGATTAAATACCGCTTCTCAAATTTTCTTCAAAAGTTAGTTTAAGTCGGCAATTTTTGATCTCGAATTTTTTTTCCTAATTGATTTTCATTTGAGACAAATTGTGATTTGAAATTTTTTGTTGATAATTTTTTTACTAATTTTTTGTAGCTTTGGTGACTTCGCTATGCCATGCTACGCTTTTTTTCGAATTGTGATGCATAACTCCTGGTTTTTCATTCTTGAAAAAGATATTTGCCCAATGTTATAGTTTTGGCCGGTAAGCATCCTAAATCCAAGTTTTGTCTGTTTGAAGTTCATCTAATTACTTTTTTATTGCACTTCTCATTTAATGCTCGTCTAACTTGCGCTTCCCAGTCTGAAATAGATAAAAAGATTTGCCTTTATAGACTTGGGTTAACACATTTACATTGAGTTTATTATTGTATAAAAATGAGTTAAGTTTAATGCAGTTTTTGAGATAGTTCGTGTAATTTTTCGACGGTGTCGTCACTGAACTTACTATTCATGTTCAGCTCAAATGTCGAGCTACTATTGTTCCATTCATATTTCTGCACTATAACTGATTCTTCTGGGACTCCAATTTTCTTCAGAATCAATTCAGTATACATTCCAGGAGCAATTATGTAGAGTTGAGATCTAGGACGTGTGCATGCTTGGTACAGACACACGAAAGAACTTCTTAGAACGTCATTTACCAGAATTTTTCGATTTTGAAATGATAATGGGAGGGGCAAGGTAGCAAAAACAAGCGCTCGTTCCCACTCGAACGATTTCGTCAGGGCCGAGCTCTCGACGACTGCAGTCGTGGTATTGTCGTATTCATCGGGTTTCCGAAATCTATGCGAAAGATCTGCACTTTCGTAACCTACCGTATTTTTTAACGCATTGGAAAGATGCCTCGGAAATTCACTCACTTCCGTGGATAAAACTGGGAGTTTTTCAGTGGCAACACCTGTTTTAACAATTTTTCTGAAAACAAAAGCTATGAATTCTGCTGTTTTTTTCATAGAATCTTCAAGGGTATCTTTTGGAATTAAGAACTCTTCCAACATACATTGGTGATACAGTTCGTAGACTGTAACGAGCGGACCATGGAAGTTTGACCCTTGCTTTGGCATTGTGACGGGCAAATTATCTTGGTCAGAATTAGAGTTTTGTGCCACGTGATGATACTTTGTGATTTGAGATATCAACTTGCAGTTAAATTGGTGAATCTCTACCGAGTTTCGAAGCACTTCGTCCAGTTTTAAAACGTTGGTCAAGTCAGATTCTAAGATATCGTTGACTTTCTTGTACTGTGGGTCGTTTTTCAAAGTAGGCGAAGCTATGCCAGAGCTCTGCTGGTGGTCCAACACGACCCAAGTCAGGAAATCTTTTTGGTCCGCCTGGGTAAACATTTGCGAGCAATTCGGAACTATATCCGCTAAATCGCCATCGTCGATGAAGATGTGCGTTTTTTGGCGCCATAAAATATCAGATTTCATTTTCAACCGCATTTCTCGGTCGTTACGATACAGTTTCATTTTCATTTTACCGAATTCTCTGTTCGTATTACTGTAAAATGCATCTAAGAAATCTGATGTTTGTCCTATCAAAACTTGACTTTCAAGATCCACGAGATCAATTTCGAACTCGATGTTTACTGTCAAAGGATCATCTTCCTTAAGACTTGACGCCTTTTTGAAATGATCAGCGAATGCTTTTATTGCTCTTTTTCCTTCGTCCGGAGTAGGTAATGCCATTTCACTCTTGATTCTGTTTTGGTCCAGATGTTTCTTGTACACCCAAGCGTATTCACCCCTGCATAGGATCAAAATCTTTTCTTTCGGTTCTCTTGAGCATAACTCAAGAATCTTGAAAATTGTTAAAATTGTTTTACCGGAACCAGCTGGCCCATGGAGTATGTTCAATCCGCTTGAACAACTATCGAAAACAAATTGCTGCTGGGGCGTCAAAAATAAAATTTTGATGCCTCTCGAACTTCGGAATACCGTTTCTTTTCCAGTTCTAAGAACGTCGGCAAAAGGTTTCTCTTGCCTTGTTAGCATCTCTTGGTCTATCTCAGAATCAAAGCGGGAAACTGAGTGACTAGAACTTACGTCTTCTAGATTTGGCGATGTGTCTAGAACTAAGACATCTGCATTATCCTGTTTTGTGATCACAGTCGCCGCCAAACCCACCATCACTGGAACAATACTTCTATAAATGGCTTCTAACTTCAGACCAGGTTGATCGTTTATTTTCAACTCCGATTGAAACCATTGGGAAAACTTTCCGAAATTTGATAAATCGGAATCATCTAAAATTTCGTAGTCGCCTCGATAATCTTGAAATGCTTCATTGTCTTCAGCCGAGATTCGATCGTCGGGTAGTACGGCAACTTTCTGAACCTTCAAAGACGCCTCATCGAGGAATGCAATATGCTCGGATAGCCAGGAAACTACAATTTTGTCTCGTTGTAACTGTTTGGCTGCTGCTTTCAGTTTCTTTTGTTTCTCAGAGGTGCTCGCTTTGCTTTCGAAGTTTCTACTTTTGACTTCCCAAATTATGACACCGTTCGTTGGATCAACCGTCACAACGTCTATTTCAATTTCTTTCGGATGCCCTTTTACATCAAAACCATAACATTTTTCAAGATCCTGCCAAGAATTTCTTTTCGATAGCTCGCAATCAGCAATTGATTTGATAAATCTCCATTTTTGTGGATCTATTTTGAAGCCGTGGAACACAAACATGGGAATTTCGTTTTCTGTTGCATATTTCTGAATGGTTTTGACCAAATTATACTCGTCGATTGAAGATTTTTGACCTGTTCTGAAGTTTTCGAACTGCTTTTGGGAAATTTTTGAGTGTTTGACGCCGCCTGAAGATTCGTTTGGGGGTTCAAGAGGAATATCTCGGGGCAGAGGAGGTATCAAGTGGACACCTCTGGGCTCAAGGTCATTGATGATTTCGGGAAAGTATGAGGTCATATACCAATTGCACATGGATTTGAAATCTCGTATTGAGTCTTTCCCTCCAGGAATAAAATATTGAATAGCTTGCGACGCCGAAGCGGCCATTTTACAAACAGTCAAAAATCTATCTAAGTTTTTGTTTTCTCTAACTAATATGGCCAGTTAATCTTTCTAAACTATTGTGACTGTGTGTTTAAACCGTGAAAGAATTTTTTGAAGGTGTTTTGTATAAGTTTTCTTCTTTTGGTGGCAACGTTTGTCACAAATATACAAAACGTGTTTTAACAGACTAGAATTTTGCATTTTTCACGACACAGGTATATTGGTCTTTTGTTGCTGATGATGAATATTTTTCTGGAAAATAAATAATTCAAATGACTAAAAAAAGTTTTCAGCGAGTTTTTCGAAAGTTGAGGAAATTTGCCGGACGCGCCATTTTTTAATAGATAAAATGGTAAAGATGGTAGTTTGATTAATTGAGAAGAAGATGTATCATAGTTGCGAAATGTCCAAACTACAAGATGAGAAAAGCTAACGCTACTGTAAAAGTGATTGAGATAACAGCTATTAGTTGAAGCAAAACAAGCTCTTAGTTAGTTCAAGTCAATGAAGATATTATCAGCATTAAATAATCATATGCTCATGTATTGGA